AAAATAAAGAGTAATAAAAGTACTTTTTGTAACTAAATACACACATACCGAAATCAATATTCAAAAAAAAGGGAAAAAAAAGAAAAGAAAAACATTTTTCATCCCACTTCTTAAAAAGCAACCCATTTTCCTTCCCCAAAAATTCCATGCCCTAATCCACATATTCAAAAAAAAAAAAAAGTGTAAAGAATTTCTTAACATTTTTTAATTTCAAATTTTAATGTGTAAAGCACTTTCTTTACTTCTTAATTTTTTTTTCATAAAAAATGTCTCATTAAATTATGTAATTATTCATACCATAATGATACATAGTTGTATCCTGTGGAGATATTCAAGTTCATACCATAATGATACATAGTTGTATCATAACACAATAGTATGAAGATATTCAAGTTCTCATTAAATCATGTAATAATTCATACCATACTGAGACTTTTTTTTTTTTTTTTTAAATGTATTTTTTTGTTACATATATTTACACCTAAAATAATTTATTTTTTATTCTAAAAAGGTAAAGAATTTTTTGAATTTCTAAATGTTTTTCATATTTGTTAAATAAAATAATTTTGTTAAATGTATCTTTTTGGTTATATATCTATACATAAAATAATAAATTTTTTATTCTAAAAATGTAAAGAATTTTTTGAATTTCTAAACTTTTTTCATATTTTTTAAAATTAAAAAATAAGGTTGTTTGGTTTGATTCAAAATGTACAAAATATTTTCTAATACAATTTATTATTTGATTAACTATAGATTTTAATCATAATAATTTCAATTCAATTGTTTTTAATAACGATTTAACATTTGTGCATTTTGATATTTTTTTCACTGCTTTAACCGAAAAGTGGTAGTATATCATTTTCATTTCTTGCTTCATTTCCTACACTGAACCAAAGAAGTTATAAATAGTCTGCTAGCTTGAATGGCACAAAATTGTTTCTGAATTTGAGAGATTCTCTGGGGTAGCATTAATGGAGAATTATCTATATCTTTTGATTGGCCAAAAATAAATTTTATTTGCTTCACTCTTTGATGTTTTATAGCTATGATGTTTTTATCCAATTGTTCATTACCAATTCTTTATTGTTGTGAGACTTGCATATTCTTTCTTATACATGGTAACAATATATTATAACATTTCTGCCTTTAACTTTCAGGAGACATTGCTTCACCAAATGAATATAGTCCTCGTTGACCAACCCTCAAGGTTTTTATTGGAATTTTGGAAGGAAAGTGGATAATGAGTATTAACGGGTAGTGCATGCTTTTTAATCATGATAAATTTATAATCAAATATTAGCATTTTAAGCTTTTTTTCCATGTAAATCTTTTAACTAATCTCTTGTTTGCACTTGACTATTTATTTATTTTCTTTTTCTTAGTCCCTTTTTATGGTTTTGCATGAATTATGGCTTGCGTGAAAGCCATAGAACCTGTTAATGGAATGATTATGAATTTAATACATACATGGGATCTAAATTGTCCTCCTCAACTTGAAAGATTTAAAATCTTAAACAAAGTCATTTCATATCTAGAATTTTTGTAAAAGATTAAAAAATTATAGGAATTAAATTTGACATTTGATTTATGATGTGTAAACTCCTGAGAAAATCCCATAATAATTACAATTGATGTTGTATAAGTTTTTAGGAATCTCTATATATATATATACTATTTCTATATCTATATCTATATACTATTATAAAAGTGTATAGAATTTCTTAACATTTTTAGACTTTATAAAAATACAAAATAGTTCTCATTAAATACTTTACATTCTAATATATACTTATATACTATTTAGAATTTCAATAGCCACATTTGATTAAATGAGTCATCTCTGAATTCCAATAGTCCACATATGATTAATGATTGTATAATAATTTATGCTTCATTAATAGTATAGATTATAAATGTGTATATTATATATGACCTAATATTTTATGAAAAAAGTTGAGGAAGGCCAAAATTATTTGATTGTTCATATTCTTTAACTCTTTTTATATATGTATATATTTAAACCATAATTTTTATATTAAAAGTATTTTTAAATCAAATTAATTATACTTTTTATTTTTCATATTTTCAAATATAAAAAAGGAAAAAAACTTAAAAGGGAAAAAAAAATTATTCCAACAAAAAGATGTGAAAAAAGTTTTAAAATTCAAAAATTCATTACACCTTTAGAATTAAAAATATATTATTCTAGGTATAGATATATAACCAAAAAGATACATTTAACAAAATTATTTTATTTAACAAATATGAAAAAAGTTTAGAAATTCAAAAAATTCTTTATATTTTTAGAATAAAAATAAATTATTTTAGGTATAAATATATGTAACCAAAAAATACATTTCAACAAAAAAAAAAAAAAAAAGTCTTATTATGGTATGAATTATCACATGATTTAATGAGAACCTGAATATCTTCATACTTATTGTGTTAGAAGTTCAAGAATTGCAACAACCAAAAAAATGTATCATTATGGTATGAATAATTAAGTAATTTAATGAGACATTTTTATGAAAAACAAATTAAAAAATATTAAGAAATAGAGAAAGTGCTTTACACATAAAAATTTGAAATTAAAAAATGTTAAGAAATTCTTTACACTTTTAGTAATTTTTTCTTCTTTTTTTTTTTTTTAAATATTGTGGATTAGGGCATGGAATTTTTGGGGAAGGAAAATTGGTTGCTTTTAAAGAAGTGGGATGAAAAATGTTTTTTTTTTTTCCTTTTTTCTGAATATTGATTTCGGTATATGTGTATTTAGTTATAAAAAGTACTTTTATTAACTATTTATTTTAACCATTAAATAAATACTCGTTAAAAATGATAAGAAATAATAAAAATATATATACAATCATTAATCATATGTGACTATTGGAATTCAGAGATTAATCGTATTTAAAAGCAAACCCGTTCCTTTTCAAAAATTTCCTCCCAAAAAAACTTTGTTTAAAAAAAATAAAAAAAAAACGCACAACAAACAAAAAAAATAAAACGTAAAAGGGAAAGGAAAAAATGTACCATTTTCAGTTTTTAAAACACACGTCTACCCAACTTTAGACATTTTCTCTATTTCCAAATATTTTAAATTAAAAAATTTGATTAACGTATATATCAACTATATATAATGGTTTTAAATGCCTCCAGAAAGGTTAAAACAAAAAAAGTTGATTAAAGCATAATGAAACATGCCTAATTAATAATATAGATTATAAATGTATATATTATATACGACCTAATATTTTATGAAAAAAGTTGAGGAAAACCAAAAAAACATGTTTTTAATCCGATTAAAAGTGAAATGGTACCCTTGGAATTTTCAACCTTAAATTTTATTAAAAATGTATTATTTTTATTTTGATACTTAAAATCTCCAACCAAGTATTTCTTAACTCTTTTTTTTTTTTTTTTTTTTCACTTTAAATTAAATACAATTTCATTAAGTGGACATTAATTACTTGAATTTCATTTCATGTTTTTAATGGTCGATAACCTTTGGAATTTTCAACCTAAAAAAATGTCATTAAAAGTAGACTACAAAACGTGTACAACCTCTTGGAATTTTTAACCTTAAATTTCATTAAAAGTTTATTATTTTTATGTTTAATGTAAAACTTTTGTAATTCTTGAAATTTCCAAACTTTAATAGCATTTGATGTCTCTTAAAATTTTGAACACTAACATAAAAGTCTATTATATAAATAGAGGTAAAAATTACAAGATCAAGCCCCAATATTGAGGGAGCAGCAAGATTAGATGTCAACAAGAGCATTGCAAGTAGGGATCACAAAAAGAAGAAGTATCAATGAGCGTATTTCATCAATTAGCTTTGGTAGCGAGTATGAGAATTCATGTGCGATAAATTAGGAGCATCAATTAGCTCGGTTAAGTTATTTGTTCGTTTTGAATCCTCTACTCAGTTTAATTCATAGTGATGAATTTATATTAAACTGTTTTAATATTAGGCGTAGTGATGATAAAATAATTATTAGGTTTCGTTCAACAAATTAACAATTATTGAGTTTTCTTGTACTTATGTTAAAGTACTTATTTGAATAGGAGTATTTTGTTTTATTCTTGCTTTGGATTACATGTACATTTTTTTTTTTTTTTTTTTTTAATGAGGACTTGGGTTTGATTGTTTATGTTATCCAAAGCCTTCAATTATTTTGGTTTTCATTTGATTTGTATTTATTAATTCAATTTTTAAAACATATTTGCTTAATATTCTTTGGTCCGGTTTCTCGAAAAAATTTAGATGGTGTTTGTATATGAACTTGTTAATGTGAGTTTTGGATTGCTATTTATTTATTTTTTCTTTTTCTATTGTATTTATTTTTTTAAAGTTCGTTCATATCAAGAAACTAGCTTAATAGGACCCTTTGGCTCAATAATCACTGATCAAATAATTTTTTTAAAAATTTATTATAATCTTATTAATAACTTGGATTTACACCACGTGCACGTGCTCTTTTGCAAGTAATTTTAATTGAAAAAATGATATTCTTAGACTTGTTATTTAAAGTGAATTGTCTGATTCATAAATTTTGATTAATTATATATGCATATCTAATAAATTTTGATTGATTAATTGTAAGTGAGACAATTTACTTTGAGAGTTCCGTTGAAGTGTTACTACTCTTTTATTTGACAGGAAAAAAAATTTGATAATTTGTTTTCGTCTTGATCTATTATTTTTAACGAGGGATAAGATTATCACATTTCAATGAGATTCCATACTAGTAAATTTTGAAATCAATTTACCAAATCTATATAAATTAATATGTAATAAAGGATTATAATTTAGTGACATATTCTTTTATCTTTTTAAAGCGTGAACATAACAGTAAAAAAAAATAAACGTGTCGTGATGTTACAGGATCTTCAAATAATCGGAGTGAGCAGCATCAAACTCGCTTCAGCGTGAACGCAAAGTTGGAGAGAGAGAGAGAGAGAGTAAAAGAAAGGGACTCGTTGAGAGAGAAACAAAAAGGGTAATGAATACATTTGTTTCTACGTAATTTAATACTCGTAACAGTAACTACACAATGACATGTCTTGAATGGCGCATAGCATAGGGAATGAACTGAATTGAAACCCCCCTTTTCAATCTCTGCTACAGTTGCCCCCTTTCGCTTTCTTCTTCCTCAAGACCCTAAAATTCTCTCCTTTTTTTTTCCCCAAGCTAAATTCCCCATCGATCGCTACATAGATCGAACTCAAAATAGTAAAGCTCTGATTTCCATATATATATATATATATATATATAAATATATATAGCGCGTGTCCGTGTTATTTGAGTCTCATTTTCAAACCCCTTTCATTTATGCTTGAAAGGAAAGCAATGTGTTGGCGAAGAGTCGCGAAGTCTTTGCAGGCCTTCACAGCCCACAGTTTGCTGTTCTCCTTCACGCTCTCGCTGGTTCTCAAGCTCGATCATGTCGTCTCTTACTCTTGGTGGTCAGTATATTTTCTGCAACTCCATTTTCACACACACACAATATATATAGTGCACAGTGTAGGCGTTGATTTCGATTTTTGTTGTCATATCACGTGTGGTTGTGGGTTTGATAGTCTTCACATGGTACAAAAATTGGAAAGTTTATTTATTTATTTTTTCTTTTAAAAACATTTAATTGTCCGGAGAATTGGATTGGGGTAAAAGTTATGGGCTTAGTATCGAATTGATTAATTTTCTCTTTGGGTGTTTCCCGATGGGTTTAGGAAATGCATCATAAGGCTATTTCGAGGCTATCCCACGATTGAATGGGGTTTGTGGGCAGAAATTAGGAGGACTGAGGGAGAAGGGAAGAAGAGAGGTTGAATCAAGTTTCAAAGTAGAATAGGGAATTGAAGAAGCTAGAAAGCTCATTTGTTTATGATATTATAAGGGATATGGAGGTGGGAGTGTCTCTGGGAAGTAAAGGATATCAATATACTATGGTCTGGTACGAAGGTCAAAACAATCTTTTGGAATGTAAGGGATCATAATGACATGGAGACGACTGTTATAGGGTAGACTATGTTGAATAATGGAAAAGCTTGTGTGGCGTGTCTTCACAGAACAAAAATAATGAAGGAGATGTTGAGGGAATTAAGGTGTTATAGAGGTGCTTAACAGGTTGAGTCGGGTTCCTCCTGGAAGCTAGGGGCACTGGTAAGGGTGTAAATATAAGTTGGATTTGGTGGACTTACCCTTAAAAGGCTGTTGGTTCACATGGTCCAACTACAGGAGGACTGATCAATGGCAAGGATGGATAGATTCCTTATTTGTGCAAGTGGGAAGACCATTTCTGGTATGTGTCATAAATTTCCTACCCCCGACTGTTTTTTGACCACATTTCGATACTGTTGTATATTGGTGGTCTCTTGGGGTGTTAATGTCCTCACAGATTTGAAAATGTCTCTTAGGGAGGAAGGTTATATATCGACGTGGTGGGAGGTTGATGAACAGAGTACTCAACTAATGGTTTGTTATATGTTGGCTAGAAGATTGAGGATGTTGAAAATAAAAAAAGGAACTTAAAGGAGAAAAGATGTATTGGAAGTGTGGATGGTAGGAAATCTTGGGCCCTCAAGAGTTTAGGGAGTCAAATATCAAAGAAGAGAAGAAAGGATTTTTTGAAGAGCCTAAGAGGAGAAGCTAGGAGGCAACACAAGAAGGGGCAGGGGTCAATTGATTCTCTAAGAGGAGACATTGCAGACAGAAGTTTAGATTGCTTTGGCTTAAGGAGCGACATAAAGAGTAAGAAGTTGAAGTTCTTCCACCAAACGGTGAATGCTCATAAAAGCGTGAGCTATGTAGGGCTTATTATTATTGATGGCAAGAGGTTGAACTCAAAGGGAGATTTCAAGCTGGGTACTACTATTAGCTTCAGAGACCTCTATCTTAGGAGTGGTGGTAGCTTCACATTTAATGCAATGGGACGAGGCCTGCTTCCAAATGGTTATAATAAGCCTTGTTAAGAAATTTTGGTCAATGTTGAGGAAGGATCTGACGGCTACTATTCTTCCCTTTGAGCATGATGGGTTTGGGAAAAGCTTCAATGCTTCCGTTTATTTCTTGACAACAAATAAGGAGGATGTGTGCTTATCAGGGAGAAAAAACAAGGAGGATGTGGTGGATGTCAAGGGCTGCAAAGTACAAACCTATCCACCTGCTTCTGAGTGTATAGAATTTTTAGCTAAAATTCGCTCCTTAAAATTGTAAAGGGTATTGGGGAAGTGATATTTGAGGAACAGATTGCTTTTTTGGGTGGAAGGCAGATTTTGGATGCTTTACTAATTGCAAATGAATGTGTTAATTCTAGAATTGTAAGAGCGAGTAATGATTTGCAAACTCAACTTTGAGAAGGCATGCTATCATGTGAATTGAAGATTCGTGCATAATTTGTTTGATAGAATAGGGGTTGGGTTGAAGGAATGAAGATGGATGGAGACTTGCATATCTTCTGTGTGGTTCTCTATTCTGGTGAGTGGCTTCCTTATCCGTTTCCCTCCCAATTACAGAGGTTTGAGATAGAGGGATACTCTTTCTTTGCTTTTATCCTTGTAATGATGGAAGAAGATTTGATTAGATTGGGTAAAGCAGTTTAGGGTTGCGTGTCATTTATTATTTATTTATATTTAAAGTAAAAAAAACGAGATTGAGTAGTTTAGATATTATGAAATTTGTTTTTGTTTTTGTTTTTTTTTTTGTGTTATGAGGCTGTATCTAGTTTGATGGTAAATTTGAGGAACACTGAGCTTATTTCAGCTGGTGAGGTTGGGGATTAGTGTAGAATATGGATTGTAGGGTGGCTTTTTTCTTGCCTCTGACACGAGCATTCCTTTAGGTGCTTTGTTAAAGCCAAGGAGGTATGGTATTAACATTATTATAGAGATTTTCATGTAGGGGTGGCAATATTTGACACGACACGCTAACACTACACGAGATAAGTGGGTTTGGGTTTGGCTTAATCGTGTTCGTGTCGACCTGATTTGATACGGTAATTAAACGTGTCGTATTCGTGTTTGACCTGTCAACCCGTTTATAACCCGATTAACCTGTTTAACTAAACGTGCCAGATAAACGTATCTTATTCATGTTAAAAATGACCCGTTTAACTAAACGTGCCGTGTTCATGTCAGAAATGACTTAAACGTGTCTTGTTGTGTTGTTTCGTGTTGTGTCAAGTCTTGACCTATTTATTAAACGGGTTATGCGTGTCGTGTCGTGTAATAATCGTGTCGTGTTCGTGTAATAATCGTGTCGTGTTCGTGTGTTTTTTGACACGAATAGTAATCGTGTCGACCCATTTAACAGAATATCCATCCATGCTCTGACACGACACGAACACGACCCTCCAACACAAATTGCCACCTTTATGATTGGGAATTAGCGTCAGAGGATTTGTTGTTCTAGGTGGTTCAGGGATTCAGGTGATAGAAAGGAAGAGTCTATGCAGTGGAATTTTCAAGGGCAGGGTTTAGTGTGTAATAATTTTATTAGGTGTTGACTGCTGAGTAGGGGTGGTCATCCTAAAGTTCCTTGGAAGACTTTATGAAGGATGAAGGCCCCTCTTAAGGTGGCTTTTGTTCCTTGGATAGTCCCCACAAATGCACACAATCACCCATAAACCATGTGCATCAGGTAAGCCGGAGGAGAGTTGAATGTAAGAAGTTTGGTTGTTGACCTAAACATACAAGTTTTTTTCGTTATGCTCAAACTTTAGGTCATTTCAATACCACAAAGTGAATTGAATGCTTGACATAATAACAAACTCGCAGTTAGGAGCTTCCCCCATAGTTTAAATGTAAATTTCTTTGAATTTAGTTTTTAAATTGGTATACGGTTTCAATTTGATATGCAGGTTCATTTTCTTCCCTCTTTGGCTATTTCATGCTGTTGTTGCCCGAGGAAGATTCTCTTTACCTGCTCCATCAGTTCCCCATGATCGTCATGTATGGCACCATTCTTCTTGATATTTTTGTAAATGGATTTTATAGTACCAAATATGTATGTAGCCTCGTGGATATTAAAATTTTCAAGGTATATTGTACGTGCATCTTGAATGTTCCATTTCTTTTGCGCAGTGGGCACCATGTCATGCCATCATTGCAGCGCCATTGCTTATTGCATTTGAACTGCTCCTCTGTATATATCTCGAGAGCATTTATGGTATGGAAGCAACACCCTGTAACCGTTGTTCAACACCAGTAGTGCCAATTAAATATTTTCTTGTGTTCTAATTGTTCTTTTTGTTTGTAGTCACACATAGGAAATCCATTTTATTTTTTTGAAGTTGTTGGACTTTAAAATTATGTGCAATTTATGTACTCCAGTAAAAGTATTATTATGCATAATTTTTGTTTTTCATGTGTAAGCTTTATACTATGTTGGTCTATTAAAAGTATGAATGCGTTGCATGTGAAAGCTTTTGTTCTTGTCGTGGTAGTTGTTCAAGTTTTTGGACTTGCTGATGTGTTTTTCTTTTGTTCAGTCAACAGAGCTGCAGCTGTAAGCCTGAAGATTGTCTTTCTTCCCTTGTTGGCATTTGAAATAGTTATTCTAATTGACAATTTCAGGTACTTTGATTTGCATGTTACTTTATCCCAAGTTCTAAGACATAATGAATAAAGTCAAGCATATTATTATTATTAGAAAATTAGGTCTGTGTACTTTTTACTTTTTATTTCTTAGAACCACATTTTTGAATTATTGATACACAGGATTGATACCATGAAACAACCATATCATTTATTGATCCGGTAACCCATGTGTAGACTCTTGTGGACTGAGAAGCAGATGCTTATTTAGTTATTCCAGTTTCTGTTAGACCCTGAAGACCATAATTTGTTACTTGTAAGAGATGTACAGTTTGTTTGCACATGTTAAACAATCAATAATATCTTGATGAGATTCTTTCTCTGAAATATTTGGGCTTTTTAGCGAAGGATAAGAGAAAAAAATGACAATTGCCTTGTGCAAGTGGCGAGTGTGACAATGGCGGGGCATGTGCAAGTACATTTGGTTACCTTGTTCTTCATATCCAAGACATTGATTCTCTACAACTCCTTATTTTTTAAGCCCTTTTGTTTTCTATTTTTTAGATGATTTCACCAAAGGCTTTACCTAATAGGATGTCCAACTCAGGAGAATGACCGCGTTATATCCTTTACAAGCCCCTATTTGAGCACCCTAAAATCATTGTTCTTTAGGTGACCGGCAGACCCCTCGCTTTATTTTCTTAATTAAAAGAGTCAGCAAGCTACCGGAAGCGAAGCTTCTGGCTCCCCCTTTTCATTTATAATTCCTTCTTTTCATTAGAAGGCTCTTTGGTGGATTCTTTAGATCTGGATAGAGTCCCCTTTACTTTCTATTATCTTACTAAAGCACTAGCGCGCCACAGCTAGCAGCCCCTTTCTTATTATTGGTAAGATAGGGAAAAGCCCTTTCTTTTATATTAGTAAAGTGCGCTCGTCGTGACCCAGGAGAAAAAAAAAAAGTGCGCTTGCCTAGTGAGCCAAATAATCCTTAAGAAATTAAATTATCAACTTGACCTCATTAATTTTTTTGTGAAATTTTTTTAAGTACAATAAATAAGTAAAAAAAACGGAAGGAGCAATTACGTGTGTATATAAAGTATGGACGACTGCATACCTAGATTAAGATTTGGTGAGTTGCCATGTTGGACCTCCTTTTCCTACTCAAAAGTTGACACTCTACAAATAAAAATGAGAGGAGACTACTGCCACTTGAATGCACACAAGTAAGTCTGAAACATTCGATATAAGCTCCATTTCGTCATAAGTTACTAAACACCATCATTTCTCCCCCCCCCCCACATTTTAGTTTCAGGCATTAATATGGAGGTTTTGAGGAGAAAATAAGAAAAACTACAATTTCAAGAAGAGGGAAAATTTTGTATGATGAAATGAGAACTTCTGCTATTGCAGTTTTTATTAATTTTTTTCTCATTCCGTTTCTAACAATCCTCGAACTACTGACCTAATGTTTCACCACACGCCAACACTGAAGCCAGAGAAGTCATAGAGGAAAAGTAATTCCATAATAATTGCATCTAGGACATGCTTGTCTGTCCCCTGAACTATGGATTTCTGGTTCTACACACTCACACACACGAATATATATTATATATATTATGATTTTTTAGCATGGTTTTTTGCCCCAATATAAATGGATTGAAGATTGTTTTTTTATTATTTTATTTTATTTTCAAATTTTCCTGCTGTAAGTAATGTTATCACGTAAAAGTAGTGGAATCATCCTCACCATCATCAATGTGAAACTTATTTATTATTATTATTATTTTCTTTTTAGTGCTATTTCCAGGAACTTTGGTAAATACCAACTAATGATTATAATCATGGTTTTGAGACTCAGTCAGCTCTCTGTGTATTGGTTGAGTTGTAACAGACTCGGCCGAGGCCGGCTCCGCTAGCAGTATATAGGTGGGAATTACAACCATATGAGATTCGTTTGAGTCCCTGTGGACTCGACTGAGTCTCTTCCTGGTCCTTGAGGACTTGGCTGAGTCAACATGGTATCTGATGGTGTGCAAGGTCGAGAAAAAATCATGATTGCGGTTTCCGATACCGTTAAGTAACACCTGTTATACCCTTAGTCCATTACAATGCAACTGTGTCTGTGACTTAAAGCATGATTATAGTAAGGGCGGGCTATTCCACAGCTTCCTAAATTTAAAAGGAAAGCTATATAAGGTGTAGATGCAGCTTCTGGGGCTTTGGACATTAACAAGCATAAAATTCAAGAGTTTTTCTCAACTATCTTTGCACCTTCCTGCCCCCACCAAAAATAAAAAGAAAAACCTTGTTTCCAAAAGTTGCTGAAATAATTTCCCACCCATTTTAGTCATGCATCGTTCCCACTACTGACCACTGATGGTTTTTTTATTTTTTATTTTTATTTTTTTTTTTCTTGTACAGAATGTGTAAGGCTCTATTGCCCGGAGATGATGAAACCCTCAATGATGAAGCAATATGGGAGACGCTTCCTGTAAGTTTGGTTGAATTAGTTAATTTACTGATGAAGTATTCATGAGATAACATACTCTAGTTTTGTATCATGGCAAATAAAGCATTTGATAGGGGCCATTGCTTGGTGTAATATTAAAAGCTCGGGCTCACAAGCATGAGAATGCATGTTCAAGTCTAAAAGTAGTCACTTTGTGCACAAGTAATGCTAAAATTTAGGTTTTTCTCCAGTGAATCACTCCCAGTACCCCAGGCAACATTGGGGTAATGGCCTTTTCGGCTAAAAAGTCATTTGATGTTCCAAATTACTCTTCCATTCATTCTTTTCTCCTTTCTTTTTGCAATGTTTATTGCCTTCCTTGTGGAAGTCAATGCATTTAAAATGAAACTAGGGCATTAGAATACTAAAACTCTTGAACTACAAATAATATACGAGTTGTCAAGTCTTTCAGGGAGAATCAGACTGCTTTTATGTTTTTCTTTAATGAATTTAATACCTCATAGAATATAAAACTCAATGAAGCTGAATAAGATGATATGAAAATTGTGAAAAGAGTAGGCGAGATTCTTGGAGATATGCTACATCGGCTTTAATTTGGATCTCTTGATCCAACAGAAATACTAGCACTTTTTATGGTATTTCAGAGACTTTCTTGAGGATATCAGGTAAGAATGTCATTTCACTCATTTTGAAGCAATAATATAGCAAGATTGAATTATTGAACATGTCTTTTCGGTTCATTTCCAACGAAAAGTGTTGGACACATATCCCATACCCACATTCGTGCAACGTGTGTCGGACACTGGTGCTTTACCTACCTATGAAGAGTCCATGTAACATAGACTAGAAATTTTCTTCAAACTTTGGGTGTGTGTGACTGACGGTAATGAGTCCCTCGGATTCAGCATTCCATACCTGGGTATCAGATGCCCAAGAATATTGGGTAATCAACTATTCTTGTTCCAATTTTTTATACATGTCCCTGGAATGTCTCATTCCACTTACAGTGTTTGGTTCAGTCAATATATAATGGAGGGATCGGAATTATGTTTTACTGAACTTCCAATACCCTTCAATAGAATTGTTTACATGGGTTATTTGGTGGCCCAATTATTGCTCGTGTAAGCCTAACATTGATGGAAGGGCCTGAAGATTGTATAATGGGCGACATTATCATCGGTGGGAAGCAAAAAATTCGTTGTTGGCACCCACTAATGCTAATCGTGGCCGTATAGCAATAGTAGGTCGAATGATTGATAAGTTAAATATATAAATTTGCACAACTTATTTAGATGCAAAGTGAAATAACCGAATACGGAAATTATTGGAAGGGCTCAATTATAAATTAGGGGCGCTGATGCTCTTAATCTCTTAACTATTTATGTTATTGCGATATGACTTTTATCAAACTAGTGTGAATGGATGAGATTAAGAGCATATTTGAGGCTCTGTTAGAAGATAATCTCAAGGTAAAGCTGTTCTAAGATGGCTTGGCTTTAAAGATCAAGGAGGGGTCTACTTAGGCACATGCTTCACAGTCAACCCATTGTCACAGGCGTGTTTCTTCTGCATCTTTTATGCCTAAGCTCATGAGGCATACACAATCATTTTTGTTAACCAAATGAGCAGGGTTGGCTTCAGATTTTAGACTATTGCTATTTCTTTTTATTCTAAACAATAGATGTCAAATGAAAAGCACAAACCTGGATATTTCTGAAATGTATTGTTTTCAAGTGTAAACTGTTGTTTCTTTATTGATATGATACTGTTAAATATCTTAAAGGATGACTGTCACTGAATGCCAACTTTTGTTTTTTAGCACTTTTGGGTGGCAGTATCCATGGTTTTCTTCGTTGCTGCAACATTGTTCACTCTCTTAAAGCTCTGCGGTAATTTTCTGTTCCCTATTATTTTTCCATCAACAGAGAAATTTGCACATATTTAGGCATTGCATTTTCTCATGAGCTAGTTTCCATCTTCCATCAATTTTTACCAATGACTTTATTTTTTGTTTCAGTTCCTGGATGACACAATTCATTCCTCTTTACTGATTTTGGATATGCATTCTCGTCTTGCAGATTAAAAAATGTGAATATTTAAAGATTAAATAAATGACCTTCAGGAGGATTCATGGAATATATATATATATATATATATATATATATATATATATTGTGATTAGAAAAATTTATATTTGCAGTGAACATTGCAAATGATTGTGCAACTTGATGTTAACTCAATAGTCTTTTTTACTAACTATGGTGTCAGGAAAGGTAAAGCTATAAATCCAAGTGCTACTCAATGGACTACATTCAAATCTGTTGTATCTTGGATAATTTTTTTGGATAGGTGGCTTTCTACACTTGAATGTTGAAGCAAACAGAAAATGAAGAAGTCTTCTTACGACAGTAAGAAAGACCAGAATTACTCCAATCACCGTCTGAGCCTAGATTTCTAAAGGGAAATCTGGGGGAAAGCCTTAGAGAAGTAGAAAATCTGATAATGTCTCAAAATATATTGATAAAGACTTGACTACAAAACATATAGAGGTCTGTCCTTTTTATAAGACCACTATTAATGATACTTACTTTCCCTGACTTTTGGACTTTCTAGACTGACTTTTGGATTACCCACAGAACATTTATAACAACTATTCCCAGGATATATTCAGATTTCCACACCATAATTAATAGACTTTGACTAAACACTTTTCAAGACACCAATGACTGCCTCAATCTTGACAAAGGTACCATTAATGATTTGCATCAGACCCTCCTCCTTGGAGAAAACTCATCCTCGAGTTTGAAACAATTTACCACGATCAAAGAAGAACCCGAGTAAAGCCTTCCATCCTTTCCTTCTTCTTTTCCGTACTCTGACCCAACACACTAATCTTCTGTTACTAACAAAGAATACCTTTGCACAAACTTTCAGAGCTCTTTTTTGAAATATAGTAGATTTCCAAAACCTTCTTGAACAGTGATCAAGAACCAAAAGTTGAATTAATTTGTTCTTTGCATTGGAACAACACCTGGCCATATGTCGCATCAAGAATCCATCCCAAATCAGATCACGAATATGGGGTTGGATACTCCTTTGTGGTGGCAATCCTGCAGGCAAGGTAGCAGGGAAAACTTCAGCTAGTTCATTCAGCAACTTGTCAATTTCAGCAGGTACTTCTTGCAGTTTCTCCTTCCTTTCCCTGATCAGCAATGCATATGCAACTCCATTGTCCTCAAATTCATTTAAAAACTGCCTAGATGTCAAGTAAGCATGTCCTTCCTCCTTCTTGGACTCGGGAAAGTCTTCATCTTTCATTGGAGCTAGGATCACCTTAACTCCATTCTTATAAAAGGCATAAACTGTGATACCCCTCGATTCTAGAGCCACGGGTGATCAAGTCCGAGCACAGAATACAAGGGATATCATACAATTAATATTTAAACAAGCATTTGAATACAAAAAGAATAATAAAGAAATAAATAAATAAGAAGCTGAAGGAAACTAAATATTAAATCCTTATTTAAAAATCCTCAAATAGAAATAATTAAAAATCCCATACTAAAATCCTCCAATCCTCTGATACCAGTAATTAATTAAAACTACAACTCGGGAATCCATATTGTGGACCCCTAATAATATCATAATTGAAATAACTGAACTGAAATAAAACTAATAATTAAACCATGAAGAAGAGTCTTACGTAGAGTCGGAAGAGTGAATTACTGTCTTTGCTCGGCATGAATAATCTCTAAGACTGGAACTGACGAACACCTGAAAAATAATGGTGGGTCAGGCCCACAAACAAGTTCTAATCTATTACATCCCAAACAGAGACTCGATACACTTACACATCCTAATTAATTCAACAATAACTAAATAGTCCATATATAGATATATACGCACTAAAGGAACCTCACTAGACTATAGAGTTGTCTCAACCTGAATAGTAGGTAACATGCAAAATGCACATATAGTGGGCATGAATACCTAGACCTACCAGGGTACACAACTACGCTATATCTAGCTACACATCCCTGGCAATATACGCATCCTAACCATTGATCCTGAGACTCAAGCTCATATCATGGCGTATAATTATATATGTAAAATCCTTCCTATCCAATCATCAAAATAAACTATCCAATTATTATTTTAATTATATGTCATCCAACTATTCCGTTGACCTGACACGAATAAGTAGGACTTAACACTATGGTTAATCCGTTCCTTTATTAAAATTGGTAGGACTTAACTCTTAAGTTAATCCGTCCCTAATATGCCCCCATCCCATAATGGTGCATTAATCCATATCATAATCCAATAAAAGTTTTCAATCCAAAGATAATGTAAATAATATTTACATATAATAATCCAAATAAACATGATACAGATCATAAACACATTATTTGCATTTATTTGAGCAAAATATCAATTCTAAGTAGCGTGTATTTAATTTACATCATAAGAAATTAACATGCATCTCAACTAAATTGTACATCTCCATGTTCCGATTAAATTAATTTTAAATCTAAATAATTGATTAAAATAATATAATCCAACTATATTTAATTAATTTATCCCTTTTAAAATTAATTATATTCCATACTTAGCATGTAAACTTAAATCATGCTTTCCGATTTTTAATGAATCTATTTAAATCAATTAAATATTTAATATAGATCTATCAATTCAAAAATAATAAATATTAATTTAGTATTCCAACCCTAAACAAATTAACCTTAAAATATTTAATGCATACTTATCTTTTTGTTTTTTTATACCAAATTGATTTATTTCTACCATAACAGTATTACATGTTGCCTCGTTCGGCGTGTTTCCCTTGTGAAAAACATGGAATTCCAACTTTCCAATTTCATCACGTGCACCCCTTTATGCATAGAATCAATTTGTGACTTAGCAATGTCTAACTTTATGTTTATATCCATAAATTGATTCATCACCTCGTTCGGCGTGCATCCCTTATAAATAAAACCAACTTTTGATTTTCTATACTTAAAAGTACAAACTGTTGCAATCTCCAATTAATTCAGGTGAAAAAAAAAAAAAAATAGATAAATTAAATTAAAATCACAGCCACCAACAGTGCTAAGTTCGGCGGAAGAAAAGAATTAAATTCCACTATTAAAAGCATGAATTTAAATTTTCAAATTAATCCATGAATTTTGATTCAATTAATTTATTTAAGAACCTAGAATTAATCTAGCATGCATAGGGTACGAATCAAAGGAGAAGAGAAGAATTAAAACTTGCCTTTAGGGATTTGATAAAAACCCTAGCTTCCTTCTTCCTTTTCCTCTTCCTTCTTTCTCTCTCTAAAATATAGTACGCGATATATTTTCTAACCTCTTTCACAACTCTATAGTTATATATTTATAGTCAACTAAAATAACCCTAATCCTTTTTCCATTCCAAGACAAACTAAAATAAAATAAAAATAAAAATAAAATAAAATTTAAATACTAAAAATGTAACTTAAATATATGTTACGTATAATCTATGTGTACTCCTTTTTATATATAATATGTAAATATATATCAGATTATTATTTAAGGACTTTCTTTATATATATATATATATTTATTTATTAAATATACATATACATGGGTAATTATCCGTACCCATTAAACCCCTTACCCAAGTAGTCCATGGAGCCCAATTGATTGGTCAATTACTACTATCCATATCCAATTCCTTAAAAATAAAAAAAAATAAAACAATTAAATTCCTAAATAAATACACATCATCACATACAATTCAATTTAAACAAATAATTAAATCAATTAAACAATTAGCCAAAAAAACAACTAAATAATTAAATGCAATTAAAACTATTAAAATAATACTGAGACTATCCTTTTTAAATTAGGGGTATTACCTAAACATTCTTTTCACTAAGGTGGACAGTCTTGTTATTGAACTGCCATGGTCTTCCCAATAAGAGATGACAAGCCTCCATATTCACCACATCACACAAGACTTTATCTGTATAACTTTTCCCAATTGCAAAAGGAACAAGGCATTGTTCGGTTACCTTTACTTCACCTCTTTACTTGAACCAAGCTATCTGATATGGCTTTGGATGTGGATACACCTCTAGTTTCAGTTTTGTAACCATCTCTTTAGAGACTAAATTCTCACAGCTGCCTCCATCAATGATGACGTTGCAAAGTCATCCGTGAGATGTACATCTAGTTTTGAAAATGTTGGTTCGCCTCCAATCACCTTCCGGTTGTTTTGGTGTTAACATTGCTCGACGCACCACCAGACTTGGAAGATCTCTATCTTTAAATGTGACTTCATTTTCTTCAAAATCCAGCAGACCTTCATCATCTCGTGCTCCATCAAATTGACCCCTCTGTATTGTGTAATTCATCTTCATTGATAAGCAAGCTTTCTGCCTTCCGACAATCAGAGGACTTGTGACCTTCTTTACCACATTTGTAACAGATTATCTTGTTTCCCATGGATTGAAATGGTGTGCTACTACTCCCAGTTGCAGCATTTGTCGCTCCACGTCCCCGGCCTCGACCACACCCATAGGTAACAGGCGCTGTATTATTTTTCTGCATAGCATTGGTTGCTGCTCCAACCTCCCGAGTGATGTTTTCTTGACCAAATTCAGCTTCCAATTGTACTTATCCTCTTCTGAACTGATTTGAATGGTTGTTGGACCGATTTTGCTGTGTTTCAACCCTCGTTGCCAATTGGACAGCACTTGCTAAGGTCCAACAAGGCTGTAACTCCACGTGGTTTCTTATACTTGGCTTTAAACCCATCAAATAACGATGAATCACCTGTGTTTCTGTCTTAGCGTACACAAGTTATCATCTTATAGAACTCATTTGTGTATTCCCGAACTGAGCGA